CATACCCTCGTGCCAGGTCCCCTTTTGATCACCCTTGGCGTTTTTTACACCCAACACTCTCCTCGGCGAACATCGCTCGCCGTGGGAACCTATGTGGTGATATGCGTAACACACCTCAACCAACGTATTCTATGAAGGTCAACCATTTGATTTACGTAAAACTGCACCTAACCTCAGCATTGCTCGTCCGGCTGCCCCACCAGATTCGTGCAATGCTGCGTAGACAGCGGTGTTCGAACACCGACAGTCTATCCTTACCCTGTTTCCTAAATGGTCAAGTTTCTGAGCTGTACACAACAACTGGTCGAACTGTCGCACCACACACTCGACCCTCTATGGACAGCCGGATTTCGCGGCTGCGCCACAGATGCCTCAAGTTGATAATTACCAACTAAACCTTCTGTATGCCAGCTTACACTTCATCCGTGACGTGTCCACCGGGAGCTATATAGTTACCCAAATAAAAAACTTGGAAATCTCTCGAGATTTGAATGCTGGAACTCAAAAACCTGGTGTTCGTGTGGTGTTCCATACGAGCTAACTCCCACCGTTGGTGTCACATCAACACCGGGCGATGGGATTGGTGCTCATCATTCTTTACAATATGGACATTGACAAACCGGCTCTTGGACAGATATCGACTACTTTTGTACAGGACTACTTTGCAGTAACCCACACCGACTGCACATCTAACTACAGACTGATTGGCGCTTCGGTCAAACTGACCAGATGGGCGATGTGCTATCGGTCATTTTCAGCCGGAAAACCAATANACCAATAATTCGAATTTTGTGGCATGTATGTTGTGGGGTGAGGTGGGTAGTTTTCGTGTGGAAGTTGGAGTGACCCAACGGAATCCTAGTTTGTTTGTTTCTGTATTCTCTATTGTATAAGGCACAATTAACCTTTACAGTTTCAGTGTAGAAGCGGCCTGTTTTCGCTTTAGGTGATTGAGACGCTTGAATTCTTCTCGTGTTTTACAAAAAACTCAAACTTGACACATTCAGCGGTCAGATTAAATGCTATTTGTCCTGTCCTGTCCGTTGAGTTCATCTGGTAACACCTGAGATCTATGAATTGCTTTTCACAACCCGCGATAGGTCAAAACAAA